TAGTAGTAGTAGTAGTAGTAGTAGTAGTAGTAGTAGTAGTAGTAGTAGTAGCAGCAGCAGCAGCAGCAGCAGCAGCAGCAGCAGCAGTGGCGGTGGTGGTGGTAGTAGTAGTAGTGGCGGTGGTGGTGGTAGTAGTGGCGGTGGCGGTGGTGGTGGTAGTAGTAGTAGTAGTAGTAGTAGTAGTGGTGGTAGTGGTAGTAGTAGCAATGACAGTGCTAGCATTAGTAGCAGTGGCAGCAGTAGTAGTGGGTTTTACGGGTGGGGCAACACACAGCACGGAGAACAATAGGACACAAAAAAATAGATGAATTCCTACCGAAAGTCTTTTCGTACGCTGTCATCTGGCAAAGAACGTAAGTGCGACACTAGAAATATAAACACAAAGCAATTTTCAAAAAATAACGGACTTTGAGCACAGCGCCGCTGGTCAGTTTGTATTTAGTCAGGAAAGAAAGGACATTCCAAGCAATAAGAACGGTGAGTAACAAGTGATGTTTACAGTCACACTGAATCTTAGAGCATATTTTTGGGAGTTGCCACCTACTTGTGCGCCCTACACTCTATCGTTACTGCTAGTAGATTAGAGTGGTGGCCCCAGTAGTGGTGCTGGCGGTAGCAGCAGTAATAATACTGGTAATAGCAGCAGTAGTGGCAGTTGGTCACGATCCCCGTCCTAGTCCGCCTTGCTCCCTTCGAACAGGTCGGCCTTCGCGAGTGCTTTCGGCGTGGGCGGGCGCGCGTGGGTGCCTTATGCTAATACAGCTCCTCCTCCTCCTCCTCCTCCTCCTCCTCACTAGAGTGGGGTTGCGCCTTCGCCGTCTGTCTGTCTCTACCGTCGTTTGGTTGCACCGATTGGTTTTGTCCAGAACCCTACCGAAGCGGCATCTTGGGCTGGTAGACTCCTTAAGAATTAGCGCACAGACGAACAGAGGCAGATGGTCCGTAGCATAAACAATAATTAAAACGACAAAAATATTATGAACGGGAAGGGAAACTTAGCTTTAGTTGGATGATGTCGAGTTTGACTTACGAAGGATGACAGAGGAGAGGAATTGGGAGGACGACTGAGATGAGTTTTTGCACGGAATCGGTAGGAGTAAAGTTCTCTCCGACAACAAGCAGCAGATGGTCCTTTCTGGTGATCTTAAAAAGCCACTAGCCGGCCTTTGTCGACAGTGCTTGTTGCACTGGCGAATTTGCACCCCACATGACGCGTCTGAGGAGAAGGATCCTAGTGGATTTTTTCGTTCCACTACAAACATTCACGTACAGAAACGCAGGTTGTGTGCAACTGACAAAGCGGCGGCAGGGTCAGAAGACGCGTTGGCGGAAGTCGAGGCGGGCTGTTGTGTCTATTCCAACACATTCAAGCACAGGTGCATAGAAGTTCAGGTGTGCAAGTACCAGTGAGGGGACAAAGATGGAAAATGTACAAGCCCACTCGACTGAGTAGTTGTCGCCAGCCAATCATACACCATCACCAAACCGAGGAGATCTCATCGTCGGGAACGCGTCCAACCGTTCGCTAGCCTTATCTCTCTACCAGTGTAGCCATGAGCTGACAGGGCCGGCAGCAGTCCTACATAATTAAAAAAAGACCATGAGGGTGACTTCCATTGGTGGGACCTAAGTTCAGGCAGGCGCACGGGCATCCCCTCTGTGGAATCCCCTCTCAGGTGGCGATATCTGGACAAAGAACAGTCAGATGTGTGGAACGGCCCAGATCAAAGAATGTCCCCCCCCCGCCATCGGGTACGGTGTGCGACGACGGGCTGAGAGCGGATCTCAGTTGGGGTCTGGGGTTTCGCTTTGTTGGTTAGGTTACTAGTGACGGCAGTTCCCTACCCTCTATAGGCGTTCCCAAACAGCATCATTAGTATTCCAGTAGGCGACTTCGTCGCTGGTGCGCCCGCTGTTTGAGGTTTACCCTCCAGCCAATCATCTGAGACAACAGGTATGGATGGCGGACACCAGAGGGGGGGGGGAGCGAGGCGGGGCGGTATAGTATCCGAGGGCTGCAGGTGCTTCACAGTCACATACCTACCAAAGATAGCTTCTTCGTCACTCGTCGTTGGTGTACGCGCGTGGTGCGCTAATGGTATCGTCGCCCACATCTGGGTCGTTAATGGCCGCGAGTGT